TGCACACATTCCTTGCCTCAATTGACATAGACTTTAACTTTCAGCATAAAAGCAGACACTGAAGATTGCCTGTTTACAATTGGTTTGCAATATCTTTTAGAGCCTTCCAGATCAGATGTTTGACAAAGAGCAATGCTTTCAGACAAGTCCTCAGTGGGTGTTTTGCTTGAAACTGTCTATCATGAAATTGCTCCCAGCATGCCACGACTGTCCATTAAAAAATTTGCACCATTAGTGTATACCCACAGCTCAGTGCAATTCCTATAATGACTGCTTTATGTATTCACTCCAGTGCCTAAGAAGCTCAGATTATCATTTAATTCTAAACAAACTGCGTACTGTGAACATTTGTAAGAGAGCAACCCATTAAATTCAACATTTATTCAACTGCTCTGATTTGCTTGCAGTATTATGATTCCCCTATTTTAAGAAATCTGATTTTAGTTCTATATATCTTGTTTTACATGATTTGTTACAACATATTAAGTCTTTAGTTTCTGTCCACATCATTTAGGAAGAAACTTAAAAATACAAATCCAGGCACACATGTTGGCAATTGAATAGAATCCCATCTCTGAAATTACAGACTTTTGATCAGATCTTAATACATCTTTATAATCACTTAGAAGCAGAAAGACGGGCAGGTAGACACATGCACATTTTGTAAGACGTATGTTATTACAAACTGATTTATGTATTATGCAGCATAAGCTAAGGATTCTTACACATGGAAAACAGTCAAAGCAAAGACGCTAGACTGAGGAAATTAAGAAATTTTTTTTCCAAGTATACCACCCACTTATCCATACTGCTAAAAGTCTATTCAAATGAAAAATGATTTTAAATTTATCTGATGGATCGTATTTACAGGTATTGATGTGAAACGCACAGCCTGAGCTTTGGACCAACCCCCCCCACCCTCCCTACTAAACTCAGAATTTGGGGCTGAGGTTGGAGTACAGAACCGCAACTGCGCATCCGCTGAGAAGGGGTCGATTAAAACATACACTTTCTATACATTAAATACTGTGTTTTTTTCCAGACAGTGCCCCAGAGCCATATGAAAAATGTGCAAGACCTCATTCAAGAATTTCTTTTAAGTCTGGATTTCAGAATGCATTTTCTGAATGCAGTGTCATCAAATGGGGTCAGTTTCTAAGCCCCTTCTGCTTTTAATAAAGCACAGAATAAATCAAGAAATCTCTAAGTAAGCACAAAGAAGATACCATTTTCCCTGCCTCAAGTAACTCTCTCATGCAGAACAAATAATAACAGGGGTATATATCTTTATTTTTTATTTCCCTAAACTTCCAATATTCATCTATGACCTTTCATTTTCCATTGCAAAATAAAAAGCATGGCAGAACACAATACCTAACCAAACAGAAGATATGCCTAGTGATGAATCAAAAGAATATAGTAGATAACAGCCAAAGACAACTTTAAAATTCCATTTGTTCTCACCATATGCCATAAAAAATATAAAGAATATACTAGATATGGGCTCTTTTCCTCAGAAGTATTTATCACGGGAGATGTTTATCAAATGAAGTAACTTATTTCTTCACTGACAAGCAAGAAATTGAGTTGTTTTCTAATCTTTTCTAAGTCATGAGCAGTGTCTTGAAGAAGTCCCTGAAGAGGTCACTGTTCAAAGGTTGTAACGACTATTATCAACAGAAACATCCCACCATGTCCTCCAGTCGAGATCTCTACTTCTCAACAATAGTTTACATACTCCCTTATCTCTCTATAAACGCAGAGAGATGAAGCCTAAATGATGTGTATAGCACTTTGCCTTCCACTTTTAGAAACATAACATGCTTGAACTTCATTCTATTAATTCTGCAGTTCCTGACAGTCATGGCTATCACTGTCTGTCACAGATGGTAACCTGTATTACAAAATAGTTCTAGCTATACTATTTTTTCTAGTTCATATGCAAACTCAGCAGCAAGAAATGCAGAAAACAAGGGACAAAAGAGCAGAAAGGGCACAGAGAAAGAAAATCCTTTCCACTCCTCTTCATCTAAAGTGAGATGTGCAGACTAATCCTTCTCAATTTCAATTTGCAGCCTAGACTGTGCACCAAGATCAGACAGGGGAAGATTGACTGGTGCTATTTGGTTTCCTGACTGCAGGAAGTTATTCACAGGCCACAAGAAACAACCAGTCACAACTTCCTCTACAAAGGGAATTTAGCAGAGAAATATAAATAAATGAACAAGGATTAAAAACCAGAATGGTTCCAAACAATTATACATGTAAAAACAGTCTAAGTGGAAGAAAGGACAGAATCAGCAGCTACTTAAAAAGATAGACTAAGGAAATTAAAAACAATCAAGGGGTGAATTCATAAAGTGTTTGATGCCAGAAGTTCCAAAGGGTATACCCAATGAGGATCTCAGTAAAATGAGGGATTTCTACGCAGTGAAGACATGAAAATAGTGGCAAATAACTGTCAGGAAAGATTTTAGCATGGGCTGTACAAATCTTCTGGAGACCCAGAGATACACCCAAACTGAAAACCCACATCATCGTCTCACCGATGCAATCGCTATGCACACTAGCTAGTTTACAGCTACCATGGCCACATCAGTCAGCAATACAGTCAGATCTTCAGTCACACAGGCTGCCATCTGCTCGCAGCGTAGCACAAGCAGCAGCAGATTTCCACTGACACACTGTGTGGGTGCAGTCCCACAGCACTCGAGCCAACACAAGGTAGGGCTGCCGTGGCCCCCGGCTATCTTGGCTGCGCAGTCCTTGGCCGTTGCATCAGCACTAGCACCCCAGCGATCACATCAGTTCAAGGAGCTGCTGTAGACAACGGCAGAAGCAACTGGTTTTTCACAGGATCAGCTGCCTGAGCTGGCTTGCTGATCCACTACATTAACAGCAGCGCTGGCACCTGGGAGGCACCAACGCGAAGCAGCTGGGGTTAGGAGGATGGAATTGAGGCATAAACAGTGGCTTAAACTGCCACGAAACTCAGCATGCAGCAACTATCCTCAAATCAGACTGTAGCTACACCTATTCTGGTCACATAGACCATAAACACCCGTAAGCCAGCACTGCCATCAAGGCTAGGAACCTCTTGCCTGTTAGTTTCCTCCCAGTGCTGATCCCTTCTTTGTGCTGCAAACATCTGTACGATCAGAGATATGACCTTCATAGAAACAGAAGATGGGTACTGCTAATGTGCCTAAGTTCCCTATCCTGTTTCACTGAGCAACAGCACAAAAGCACGAAGAAGCAGACACTGACAGCTGGGCAGACCTTATCCTTTTGGATGCTGATTACTTTAAAATCTATGTTAAGCTACATCCTATATATGATACACACTTACAAATCCAGAAGGAATTATCATACTAATCATATCTAACATTTCTACCTAGCTAGAAATACTCTGTAGTCAGACTAGAATATATTCCCCCCCAAAAAATCATGTCTTGATGAAGCTGCATCCCATAACGACTTGTTCCACTGATTGTCTACCCTTTCAGGTACAAAAAAAAAAAAAAAAAAAGTGCTGGCTATTTGCCACTTCCAAGCACTGGACCTTGCAATATATTTTCTGGACTGAAGGTTCTGTCCTTCAAGTCAAATTTGAGCAAGTCATCCTCTAATCTTCCCTTTATCCTCCCAATCCTCTCATTACAGGGCTTATTTTCCAATCTTATCATCAGTTTCATTACTTTTCCCTGATCTTCAGTTTAAACAAATGCATTCCTCAATTGTGGAAGCCAGAATTGAAAACATTATTGTGAGAGTGCTTGTTCCAGAGCCCAGGAATTAATGTAAAATGTCCTCTTTAAAGGGACATTTTAAGTTTACCATTACATTAAGGTAAATGTCCACCAAACAGCCATCAAGATGCTCAGCTGTTTTTCAGAACAAGTTCTCCAAGAGAAGTCTGTATTAAGAGAAGTCTCTTAATGTGGCTTTGCTTGTTCGCTCCTTGACATAACAGCATTACAGGTGATTTACTGAAGCAATAGCGGCACTCTCTCTATCTTAATTGAATGAGACAGACTAAGGAAATGGCCTGTCACTCATGTGCTTCGAGGTGTTCCAGTAGCCATCCATCCTGCAGTCCTACCAGTAAAGAATATAGGACTAGTCCATCAAGACCAGCAATGACACATCTAGAATCTGGTGTTTCAGCTGGTAGGAGTCAAGTAATCTTTTCCATGACTTCTACTTATCTCTAAAACTTAGAGAAAATCTCAAACCCTCAGATGAAGAATTTTCAACTTTGTTTTTAAGTCAGTTAAGACAATGATAGATACTTTTGTATCTCTATATATTTACATCTAAGTTCTCAGAATTTAATCCAGGGTCATTCCATTCCTTCCAGTCAGTCCATGTTAAGTAAGTTCCCCAGTTTAGTCACATCGTATATACAAAAGCATTTATTGTCATGGGGTTTTTTTCCATTTCCTACCTTTCAATTTCACTGACTCACTCTTGTACTAAGAGACTGACAAGTCCTGCTTCCCTAGAATTCCTATTTTCACATGGGAGCTCTTCAGCACAGCTCTGCTAATACTAACAACAGCCTGTGCTTCCACTTATGTGGCTTCTGACAAGACACGTAGTGTTGCCGCTCCAAGGAACAATGCTTTTTCTGCAAATTGCTGAGAAAATCATATAATAAGATTTAAAAATTGGTCTGAAGATGCAAAGGAGTGTTTTTATAATATTGAAAATCACTGACCTCTCAAGTATTTCAAACATGTCAGTTTTCACTATTTTTAGCCTTTTTTGACTGAAATCATTGTGAATTATGCTCACATAAGTAGACATGGCATTAATTTCCACAATGATGCAAAGCTTTGATGTACTGAGTTCTGTACAACTTTAAACAGTTGAAGCAATAATCATTATTATTATTGCTATTATAATAATAGCAAAGCTTACAGGATTGCAATGCGTAGAAAGCTAAGAGGAGAACTCAGAAAGCCATTATCAGAAGTCAGTAACATCATGCAACTTACCAAACAGGCGCTGATGGAAGAGAAATTTCCCAGCTATCAGTCCTGTGAAAATGGCAAGCAGCCACAGAAGCACCTTCAAAAATCTCCAGCCTCCTCCTTCAGGGTATTTATTTGTTACAAAGGAGAAACAGTTACCAACAACGATGACATTGGCTTCTGTCTGACTGTGAGATACTGGGTCCTCGGCAAATATTAGGAAGTTAAAGAAGATCACTAAGTAAGCCACAACTAAGCGAGACCACGGGTGCTGGAAGTAGTAGCGGAAGTCTTTATCCATCCTCAGATACTTCAGAACTGTTCTTCACCTGTATATAAAGGCACAAATGCACAATGTTTTATATATACACACTCAGAATTCTTGGAGCTTAGGCAATACCTGCACCCTCCAAAAATCAAATCACTGTAACCTTGTCAGCAGTCATTTGTAATGCTTCTGATATACTTATCAATGAAAGTTTCAATCAAAACATAGTGTTAGATACAGATAGAGAAAAACTGAATTTCTGCCATTCCAATGCAAAAACAACAAACGTACATACATTACAACACAGGCACAGGACCTTGAGTCTCAAACATTTCTATATTATCTCTTTAAAAGAACATCTCCATATGGGGCATGAAAATACAGCGTGTAAGAACATGATCAGCTACATGAAACTCGGAGTGCCATAACAGCCACATTCCAAAATATTACAACACAGATTTCACAACTGTTCATGCTAAGCCTAAATTGAATCTTTCTTCTTATAGGAGAAGGATGGAACAAGCCTGTAAGTCCAGTGAGGTCTTCTACTGCCTCATCTCCTGGAAGCTTACAAGCGCATACCCCAGCAACATCAGAAACTTGTGTTTATATGAAGGAATAACATGATGGAAAAGTTGCTAAAATCAATCCTTGCAGCTCAGGCAAGCCTGTGGAAATCTTTTCATTGACTTCAGCAAGTACACCTATAATTAAGTATATTTTAAAACTCAGAAAATGAGAGTGCCCTGAGCACAGATAGTTTTGTATGAATATAAAAAATGTATTTTGAAACTTTCCTACTTATGAGGTAGAGCTATGGAAAAATGCAGCTGAGCACGCTTAACATTTCAGTTGTTCGCCATTTGATTTCTTGTTTCTTTTATTCACAACAAATGAGTCGTTTCATCCTGTTGAACCAATTTGAGTGCACAAAGATACAAGGCCTTTTTGTTGTGGAACACCACAATTGTTCAAGGGACATCAAGTGTGGGAAGAAAAGAAAAAAAATAAAAGGGTATCTAATAATATTGCTTGTTTATTACAGCACGATCCTCGAAGAATAGAGTGTACTCAGCCAAACAGTACAGATTTTTGCAAATGTCATAAGCCTTGCAGGGGAGGAAAAAAAAAAAAAAAAGAGACAAAAAAGCCCACCAATAAATTACTCATCCCTTCCTGGACTTCTGACGAGGTATCACTTTCCAAACTTACAAACGGCTTGAATTACAGTGTCTCCCTTTAAGTAGTCCCCTCAAAATTGTTTAACTCTATAACCCAATTCATTTTTTGTAAAATTACAAGGAATCCTGTACCCATTAAATCAAAAGGATGAAAGAACTCTCAGCAGATTCAGACAACGCATTCAGTAAATCATAAAAATTAACATTGTCCCACTATGCATAAATTACATATGAAAAAGAAAGGAAAAAAAAATTAAACAAAGTTTGCACGAGGCAGTGTCAGCCCTTTGAAAACTTTATGAATAATATGATTTAAAGCAAGGGTCATTGGCCCAGTAGCCTACGAAGATACCACTTTGGGAAGATTAAACCTCCTTTAGAGCCATAAGGGTGTCCAAAGCTCTTTGATGTTCTCCTTTCTTCCTGCTAACGGGAAGAAAAGTTTTGGTATCTCCTTAGGTGTATGAACCATCTTAAAGGCAGAACAGGGCTGGAGAAAAACAACTCTGTGTCCTGATATTTTTGGCAGCAGCCGGATACCCGAGAGTTATTAGACACCCAACTACAGACGCAGCTTCCTAAGCGTTTATAGCACAAGAAACCAATATTTGCAATAGCGGCAGTGCTAAACCGCTAGTAAAAAGCCTGCTCCTTACTACCTCAACGCCAAAACGAGGGTGCCGAGAAAGCCGCGCCGCAGCCGCCCATCGCAACCTGTTAAATCCACCCCTTTCCCCACGCCCCCGGCGCAGACCTGGGGACCCGCGGCCGCGCTACCCCCCGCGGCTACGGCCGCCCGGCTG